AAATTTTTGGCATGACTTTTTTAAAAGCGCATATCACATTTAGGAAAACTTGTACAAAAAGTTGTCAACTACAAAAATGAAGCTCTTGTTTTGTTTTGTATAACTTGAAATTTTCAGACAAATCTTAAAATTCGAAACCCATCTTGTCCTCTTGTTTCAAAACTGACTATTTTCCACTCAAAATTAAATTTTTCTGTATTATTCCGGTTAATTTTGTCCGGAACTTTTCAAAATTAAAATATCTGTTTTCAACTAGTTTCGCGCTTCAAAATGAGCCCAAACACGACTACTTTCGAAAGATTTTGGGTTTTTAGCCTGCGCGTTGCGGTCGCGACGCGGCTGATAACCAAAATTCAATCTTATACGAACATCTTCGTGTTTAGGCTTATTTTGAAGGTCTCTTCGAGACGAAATTAAGAATAATGGTATTTTTTAGTGGATTTCAAATGCAAGTTTAGAATTTTCAGACAAATCTGAAAATTCTAGACCACTCTTTTAGTTTTTTAATTGCTTCTGACGTACCGTAAAACCTGTAATTGAAGGGCCCCCACACTATCAAGTTTGAGCTCAATTATCTCATTTCCTGTTACAGATATCAAAAAGTTGTCAACTGATAAAATATAAATGATATTATGATAAACAATTTGTTAGTTGACAACTTTTTCTTACCTTTTACAGGAATCGAGATAAATGAGATCAAAATTTAAAGTTAGGGGGCCCTTCTATCACAGGTTTTACGGTATGTGTAAAAATGGCTTTCAGAAGATTATATTGTTTGAGCTCATTACCTGCATGCATGCTTCCTAAGTACCAGCTGGTAGAAGCCAAACGTATCCCCAACGATCATCATTTTGACTCAGAATTTCAGATATTCAGAATCTCAGAATTCTCAAAATTTTGGCGAAAAAAGAGCCCAAAAAATGTGTAAGCTGTTTGGGGATGTTTTGAGCGGATAGGAATAAGAAGATGAAGTGGTGGGAAATGATGAAGAAGACGTCGCCCAGGAGGAGGAGGAGGAGCTTATCTCCGGAGAGCCAGCGAGAGAGTATAGAAAGATGAGAGGGTGTGAGAGAAAGAGGATAATCGCTCTCTCTCTCCCAACCACTTGTATATATCCAGGAGCTCATCATTATTTATCACTTCATATATAAGTGATATCCGGATGAAATTGAGAGAGTGAGGGATTAGAGAGACGGTAGAGAAAGAGAGAAATGAGCTGGAATGGAGGGGGGAACGTATGAATAATCCCTGAAATTGGAAGAATCGCTCAGGTAGTAATTTTGGGGGAGTTGAAAATTTCGAATTTTTGAAAATTTGGAGTCAAAATCCCAAGTTTGAGAATTTTCGAAAATTTCATAAAGTTGAAAAATTGTTTAAAAGTTTCAAATTTGAAAAACTATCGTCTATTCAAAATAATCGCGCGGATGAACGAGTAAAAAACGTGTAGAGAGTCTCCAAACCTGTAGAGGCGCTGTAGAGACGCAGACATTTTTACTCGTTCACCCGCGCGATTATTTTGAATAGACAATACAAGAGAAATCCAGAATTTTCAGATTTGTCTGAAAATTTCAGAGTAAACGAAGAAGGGATATGTGCCTTTAAAATATTCATATTGTTGAAAGTTAGAGATTTTTTTGGATTTCTAAATTTCTAAATTTCTGAATTTCTAAATTTCTGAATTTCTGAATTTCTGAATTTCTGATTTCAGAATTTCTGAATTTCTGAATTTCTGAATTTCTGAATTTCTGAATTTCTGATTTCTGAATTTCTGATTTCAGAATTTTCGATTTTTTTAGATTCATAATTTTCGAATTTTTGAATTTTTTGGAATTTTGAATCTTTTGGAATTAGGAAATTTCTATTTTTTGGGTTTGTGAATATCTGAATTTCTGATTTTTTTTTTGACAATTTGGATATTTGGATTTTTTGGAACTTTGGAATTTTTCGACTTTTAAAAATTTTTTATTTTCTGGTTTTCTGAATTTTCCGTATCCTAGCAACATTTGAAGCACTAAAAATGGAAAAAGTGTGTCCAAGAGGAAGCCATATAAATAGATAAAGAGAAAATTGAGAGATGACGAAAATCCTAATACTACGTCATGGAAACTTCTCGAAAAGAGGGGAACATGGAAGAATGGAAATTTAACGACTTTAAATAGAGAATTTTAGATTTAAATTTGATTTTTCTCAAAAAGAAAATTGAGCTACGCGGTTGCATTTTGAGCTCCTTTACTATCAACTTTGGGCCAATTTTTCTCGGTTCCTGTAAGTGATATCAAAAAGTTGTCAACTGATAAAACGTTTATCATAATATCTTACGCACTTTGTTAGTTGACTATTTTTTGATATCTTTTATAGGAGCCGAGATAATTGAGCTCAAAGTTTCCAAGTCGGCGCGTGCCGGCTGAGCTAAGCGGTCGGCTGACGACCTCTTAACTTTAAGCCATTTTATCTCAGTTCTTGTGCTAGATATGAAAACGTTGTCAACTGATAAATTGTTTATCATAATATCAGCAACATATTATCAGTTAACTTATTTTCCTATCTCTTACAGGAGCCAAGATAATTGGGATCAAACTTGACAGTGTTCCCCGTTCTCACACACTTTTCCAGTGATTCCAAAGCCGGTGCATTATCATAGCTCTTTTTTCTGGATCCAGGTGACGTGGCACCATCTTCAGCATCATTATTATTAGAAGACTCCTTTTGTTTCCGAAGAAGACTGATCGGACGTTGAAGGCCATCCACTGAAAACAGTGATTTTCGGGATTTATGGAAAATTCAATGTTTTTATTAGTCCCTTCGAAAAACCAACTTTATAGCTCGTCTGAGAGCAGAGATACAGTAGTTCGATGTTTGAAGAGCGAGAGAGTGAGAGAGCGGAGACAACGAGACATTCTAACTGTCTGCGTCTCTTATAAACTTCAAATGGCTGTAACTCGGCTCCCAGATGAGCTACAACAATGAAACTTCCACTTTTTCTCTTCATTTTCAATGTTTTTTTTTGAAATAAATACAAACACATTTGAATTTGAAAGACAAAACATTTTTAGAGATTTAAAAAAAATCATTTTTTAAAAAGTTTGTCTGAAATCTGAATTTATGTTAAAAACTGAACAAAATCATCCAAGTTTCATGTCTCTAGCTCATATGGGACTATAGAATATAGTCAATTGAAGTTTAGACGCAGACGACGAGATACTCTAACTGTCTGTGTCTCTTCTAAACTTCAAATAGTTGTAACTCGCTCCCCCGATGAGCTATAACGAAGAAACTTGCACTGTTTTATGTCATTTTCCCAGATCTTCAAATAGGATAGCAACTAAAAATTTTCCTATTTTTGAAAAACTAAAAATCTGAACTTGAAGGCGATACGAAGAAAATAGAAAAAAATTTTAAGCGAAATAGTGAAAAGTTGAAGCTCCCATAATGTCTGGGACCTGAGATACGTTCATTTTACATTTGCCGGTGAGAGAGTGAGAGAGCGCAGACAACGATACGTTCTAGCTCTCTGTATCTCTCCAAACTACAAACGCCTCTCCGGTCGCGTCGCGGCTGTGAGAAGAAACTCAATCTTTATCGAAATTGCGTCGTGTTGTAGGCTTATTTTGAAGCTCTCGTCAGGATAAACTTGAAAATAATAGTTTTATTCATAAATTTCAAATGCAAATATGAAACTTTCTGACAAATCCAGAAATTCTAGACTCCAAAAATATACCAAATTGG